TGACAATCTAAACATAGACCCCAAAGATTCACTGGGAATGGAAAGCGAGCCAACCTCATATCTCTAGAGATGGTTCTTTCAGATCTGGGTTGAGGCATTTTGCAGGATGTGGAGGGAAGCTTCCACACACTCTCTCTCTCTCTCTTTCTCTCTCTCTCTCTCTGCATATTTTATAAATTAATAGAAACCATCTTCAGAGATATCAATCCAGCACTAAAGAACACTAATCCAGTTTACACTTAAAGAAACATTGTTAAGCTGTTTCTCACACAGTGAATTCTTTATAACAGCAGCAACCCTAAGCATTCAAGTTTGTCAATATTTACATATAAACCACCCCAAAAACAGAACCTGCAACTGGATGTTACAACTGACATCTGGATTAAACAGTCTGTTTTGAAATGTAGCTCTCCAATGAAAAGTAATTCTATAAAAGTGGCACCTTCTTACTCTCATGTACCCAGTCACATCTGCTTGTTTCAGGCCTAGTCTATACAGTTTTTATACTGGTATAACTATTTCAGTTAGGGTTGTGATTTTTTTTTGCAACTGAAATAATTATACTAGTACAAACCCTAGTGTAAATACAATTATATCTGTATAAAGGTGTCTTATAGTGATCTATCTTATTCCCTTTCCTGTACAGGAATAAATTATACCAATATAGGCACCTTTATAGCAGTCTAGCTGTAACCATAGTAGGGATATTATTTCACTTTAACTATAGCAGTATAGTTAAAGCAGTACAACTTTTGTGTTTAGATCAGTCCTTACTAACTACATCAGTGGTTCTCAAACTTTTGTACTGGTGATCTCTTTCACATAGCAAGCCTCTGAGTGTGACCTCCCTCCCCCTTAAAAACTAAATACTTTTTTATATATTTAACATTATAAATGCTGGAGGCAAAGCGGGGTTTGGGGTGGACGCTGACAGCTTGTGAAACCCCACATAAATAACCTCATGACCCACTAAGGGGTCCCGACCCCCAGTTTGAGAACCCTGGAACTAAATAACTAAATCAGGAGGTAGCCATGTTTGTCTGTATCCACAAAAACAACGAGGAGTCTGGTGGCACCTTAAAGACTAACAGATTAATTTGGGCATAAGCTTTCACGGGTAAAAAACCCACTTCTTCAGGTGCATGGAGTGGAAAATTACAGATGCAGGCATTACTATACCGACACATGAAGAGAAGGGAGAGAACTAAATGGTTCTCGATGGTTCATGCATTCTAGCTACACAGAGCCATCATAGTTATGACAGGGGGAGCTGGAGTCTACGCCTCCTATAACAACAGAATTGTCTGAGTTCCAAGGAGTTACAACTTTACAATTCCACTAAAGACAAGGGCATAATCTGGATACATTAGAAGAACAGATTCCAGCTTGACTCTCAGATCTCAGCTTGAGTTGAAGGACTTGCAATTAGAAAATAAACAAACTTTTTATGGGTAAATTGAATACATCTGATTTGGAGTCAATATGAGATAAATATAGAATCCAAAGCAGCAATTTTTAGTCACGTCTCAGAGTAGAAATTCACTTAAATTTATACGCTAACTTCTTTGGTGTGTTTGTTTAATGTAAAAATACTTTTAGAGTTACCAAATGAGTGTCAGGACAGAAGTGATTTTGCAAATTGTAAAACTTCTGCTTTTTGATATATCTGTAAAACCCCTTAATTATAAATTAAATTAATTATTCAAGACATAACTTAATAGGACCATCGGGTTTTTAAAGGTTCCCTGCCAAGAATTTTATTAAAAACTGGCATTCTGGACTCTTCTAGTTCTTTATGATGTAGAAAAAGCAGCCTAGAAAAGATTGGGTTTTTTTTACTGATGGTTTTATACTCATCAAGAATGTCAACTCTGGTTTGTCCTAGTTTTGCTGGAGGAATTCTAAGAGGTGTCTGGAATGTTTATTGGGAACAGGCTGAATAGTTTAACTAAGACTTCTACTTATACAAATGTTATTCAATTACTGAAATTTTTTAAGAAGTGTTTATAAAAACAAAAATAACATTTAAAAAAGTGACTAAATCCCTTTCGTCTCAATTGCTCAAATATAACTTTGACTCTTGCAATGCCACCATATCACTAGCTCTCTGGAGCAGGGGCGGGCAAACTTTTTGACCGGAGGGCTGCACCGGGTTTTGTAAATTGTATGGAGGGATGGTTAGGGGAGGGGGTTGTGTGTCCCCCCCCCCCGGGACTCCTGCCCCATCCAACCCCCCGTTACCTGACGGCCCCTCTGGGACCCCTGCCCCATCCACACACCCCTGCTCCCTGTCCCCTGACTGCCCCCGGACTCCTGTCGCCCCATTGAATCACTCCTCTCAATCCTGACGGCCCCCCCGGGACCCCTGCCCCATCCAACCATCCCTTCAAGCAGGGGAAGGGCTGGGGCTAGCCTCCTGGGCCAGGAGCTCAGGGGCTAGACAGAACTGTCCCGCGAGCCGGATGTGGCCCGCGGGCCATAGTTTTCCCACCCCTGCTCTAGAGTCTTCAAGTTAACAAGATCTGAATTTCTAAATTTTTTAAAAAAGCAAAAAGGTCCCTTTCCCCAACGCTTGAACATTTGAAGCCTTCTCCTGTATTGTAAAAGGGCACAAAACCATTATTAAAACTCTGCAGGTGCCGAAAGCTGCATCATGTCTAGTGTGCTGTGTGATGATATAGTGAGGGGTGAATGTATGCACCGAGGACCAAGTAGCTACCCTACAGGTTTCCTGTATCCGAACCTAGGCCAGGAATGCAGCTGACAAGGCCTGTGCCCTTGTGGAATGAGCCTTAAGAGGCAGGGCTGGGACCTTGGCCAGCTCATAACATGTGCGGATACAGGCCGTGATCCAGGAAGATAATCTTTGAGATGAGACCGGGAGTCTTTTCATGCGGTCTGCCACTGCCAAAAACAGCTGGTTCAACCTCCTGAACGGCTTTGTGCGATCAATGTAGAATGCTAACGCCCGCTGAACATCCAATGAGTGCAGCCTTTGCTCTTGGGTATTGTTTTGTGGCT